AAGTCAGAATTATTAGCCACCTTGAATTTTAGCCCCCCTGTTTTTTTTGTTTTTTGTTTTTTTTTTCCAATTTCTGCTTAACGGAGAGCAGATTTTTCAACACATTTCTAAACATAAAAGTTTTAATAACTCATTTATAATAACTGATTTATTTAAGCGTTGCCATGATGACAGTAAATAATATTTTAGATATTTTTCAAGACACTATACAGCTTAAAATGACACTTAAAGGCTTAACTAGGTTAATTAGATTAACTAGGCGGGTTAGGGTAATTAGGCAAGTTATTGTATAACTATGGTTTGTTCTGTAGACTATCAAAAACAAAAATGCCTTCAAGGGGCTAATAAATTTGTCCTTAAAATGGTGTTTAAAATATTAAAATCTGCTTTTATTTTAGCCAAAATAATACAAATAAGACTTTCTACAGAAGAAAAAAATATTATCTGACATACTGTGCAAATTTCCTTGCTCTGTTAAACAGCATTTGGGAAATATTTTTAAAAAAAGAAAAAAATTCAAAGGGGGCTAATAATTCTGACTTGAACTGTATATGCATTATATCAATTGTTTATTTGATATGTTAGTACATACTATATTTAAAGACACTTCATATAAACTTTGTACCGGTTTTTTAAAAATGTTTTTCAGTGTAACACACAAGTAACTTTGCATGTTAAGAAACTGAGTAATAATAGACTGTCTGCTTAATATGCTAGCACCTTTTTTTTTTTTGATGGTTCTCCAGATGTTCAACAAATTTCTAAATATGCCAACTTATTCCGTTAAACCAAAACATAACCTATTAGATCACAAATGTAGTTACTAAGTTGCTTACAGTTAACAGAATGTCTAAAGGGCTCCATCAAAATAAAGTAAATGGTAAATGACTGAAATATAAAGTCTGATTATATTATTATTAATAATAATATGAAACAATATTAATCACTTTTCACATATAATCTTTGCAGATTTGCAAAATGCTATCGAAGAACTGGACGACAATCAGTGAGTTTATTATTGTGGGCATCCCTGGACTGCATCCAGACTACTATGGCCTGGTTTCTGCCATTTTCTTTGTCATCTACATAACCACAGTGGCTGGAAACATGTTTTTTCTAGTGCTGTTTGTCACTACGGAGAGCCTCAGGAAGCCTATGTACATCATCTTAGCAAGTCTGGCATTATCTGATATGTGTTTCTCCACTGTTGCCCTGCCTAAGATCATATCCAAATACTGGTTTAATGCAGGAGCGACCCCTTTCCATGCTTGTTTCTTCCAAATGGAGCTAATCCACTATTTTGGGTCTTTAAATTCACTGATAATGATGATTATGGCACTTGATCGATATGTGGCGATTTGTTATTCTCTCAGATACCAGACTGTTATGACAAACCGTGTAACATACATCCTAATTACCACTGCTTGGATAACAGCTTTTATCGCACCAACAGTAGCCACGCTAGACACACAACAGCTTCCATACTGCGGCCCTAACCTCATCCTTCAATGCTACTGTGATCACATCTCCATTACTAACTTGGCATGTGCTGAAAACAGCAAGCAGTTGTTGGTGGCCCTGTGTATGGCTCTGCTGGTGCTACTTCTTCCTCTAGTTTGCATCATTTACTCTTACTGTCACATCATAGCATCCGTTATGAGGCTGTCAAGCTCTCAGAGTCGCTGGAAGAGTTTTGCCACGTGCAGCACTCAGTTGTGCATCATCACACTATTTTACATGCCACGCTTTACAGTCTATCTTACCACTTTCCTGCAAATCCAGATCAGCAAAGATTTCAGAATACTCCTCGTACTGATCTATTGCCTCGTCCCACCCCTGGTAAACCCGTTCATCTACTGTTTGCGGACACAGGAGATCAGAATGATTGTGAGCAGATGGGTGAGCAGGCAACAGGCCTTAAGAGTAGCTTGCAAAATTAATGTCATCACGCTCTGAAATGATCTGTTCTGTGGAGTTTTAATACAAAAAATAAACTGATTTGTTCAACTGTTCGGTTTAACTATGAAGTGTGAAGTCTTTTGATGAAACCTGGTGGTTTCAGTACAAGAAAACTTCATAATATGTGCTTTCAAATAAAAGACGTCATTAATAAAAGTTAAATGATTAACAGACTTGTCAAAGTAAGTTGTTGAAAATCAGATTCACTTAAAAAACAATATTTAAAGTAATAAGTTCCACATAATACAGTATTTACACATAAATAATTAGGCCTAGATTTAAGATTTGCCAATGAAATCTAAATTGAATTTTCACCCATTTTGTTTACACATTTATCATTATAACAATTATTCATTCATTCATTTTCTTTTTGGCTTAGTCTTTTTATTAATTAGGGGTCACCACAGTGGAATGAACCGCCAACTTATCCAGCACGTGTTTTACACAGCGAATGCCCATTCAGCTGCAACCCATCACTGGGAAACACCCATACACCATTATTAACACACATACAATACAGACAATTTAGCCTACCCAAATCACCTCTAGCATGTCTTTGGACTTGTGGGGGAAGCCGTATCACCCAGAGGAAACCCATACCAACACAGGGAGAACATACAAACTCCATACAGAAATGCCAGCTGAGACTCGAACCAGCAACCTTCTTGCTATGAGGTGACAGAGCTACCCACGCATCACCTTTATAACAATTCATGTAAATTAAAACAAATGTACAATGTGAAAAGTGTAAATTTTTTAAACAAATACATTTCTCTTTTTAAAATGCATCCATTCTACTGATTCACAGAAACAAAGAAGACATCGATGAAAGCTTAGTTGATGGTGACCTAAAGCAGAATTGGGAGAGGGAGGGAAGGAGGAGTCATGTGGAAGAGAACCAATACTAGGGTAAACCAAAAGACATCCGGCGAAAAAATGTGATCCACAGCTGACCCAATGGAAAGGGGCCGGGGGACAGCTTAGAAATAGGTGACCCAAGGCAGAATTGATAGAGGCAGGGAGGAATTATGGTAGAGGACCAACAACATCTCAGACCAACACTGGAAACACCTGGAAGAAATGTGACCCAAAGCAGAACTGAGGGAATGAGTACCCGAGGTGGAACACTGACAACATCCCAGAGTGACCCACTAAAGAACTGAGGGAAGGAGGACCCATAGTGGAGGACCAACAGCAGTCTAGAGTGACCTGAGGACAGCTGAAAGGAAGGCAACCCAAGACAAAACTGAGAGAAGACCTGTGGTGCAGGACTGATGACAGCTCTGAACAACCCAGAAACCAACTAGGAGGAAGATGAGCTATGACAAGGGGAGGTCTGAGTGCATGGTGACCCGCTGCAGAACTGAGGGAAAGTAGTGGAGGACTAAAATCAGCCTAGAGTGATCAGGTGACAACTGACAGCAAGGTGACTCAATGCAGAACTGAGGGAAGGAGGACCCATGGTGGAGAATTAACAGCAGCCCAGAAAGAACAGGAGACAGCTGAGAGGAAGGTGACTCAAGACAAGACTAAGGGAGGACCCGTGGTGGAGGACTGATAGCAGCTCAGTGTGACCAGTGGCAGCTGAGAGGAAGCAAACCCAAGATAAAACTGAGGGAAGGAGGACTCATGGTAGAGGACCAACAGCAGCCCAAAGTCACCAGGAGACCACTGAGAGGGAGGTGACTTTAGGCAGAATTGCAGGAGGACCTGTGGTTGGGGACCAACAGCAGTCCAGAGTGACCAAGGGACTGCTGAAAGGAAGGCAACCCAAGACAGAACTGAGGGAGGACCTATGGTGCAGGACTGACAATAGCTCAGAACAAGCTAGAGATGAAATAGGAGGAAGCTGACCAATGATCAGGGGACATCTGAGAGCAAGGTGACTCATAGCATAACTGAGTGAAAGTAGTGGAGGACCAAAAGCAGCCTAGAGTGACCTGGGGAGTGCTGAGAGGAAGGTGACCCAATGCAGAACTGAGGGAAGGTGTACCCATGGTGGAGGACTTACATAAGCGCAGAATCACCCGGGGACAGCTGAGAGGAAGGTGACCCAATGCAGAACAATGCAGGTAAGGTTTACCTGTGGTGGAGGACTGACAGCAGCCCAAATTGACCGGGGAACAGATGAGAGAAAGGTGCCCCATTGCAGAACTGAAGGAAGGAGGACTCATAGTGGAGGACCAGCAGCTGAGAAGGTGACTGAAGACAAAATTGAGGGAGGATCTGCAGTGGAGGACCAACAGCAGCCTAGAGTGACAAGGGGACAGTTACTAGGATGATGACCCAATGCAGAACTAAAGGAAGGAGAACTCATGGTGGAGGACCAAAAGCAGCCTAGATTGACAACAGGACCACTGTGGCCAAGACAGAACTGAGGGAGGACCTGTGGTGCAGGACCAACGACAGCTCTGAACAACCAAGATGACAACTAGGAGGAAGCTTACCAATAACCAGGGGACTGCTGAGAGGCAGGACCTGAGATAGAGGCTTTGGTGTTTGAATATATTTTGAAGGCGAGTGTAGGGGTTTTTCCCAGTGCTAAGTTGCAGCTTGAATGGCATCCGTGGCATAAAACATATGCCAGAGTAATTGGCAGGTCTACTTTGGTGACCCCAGAGTGACAGACAGATGGATGCATGCATGCAGACATACATACTGTGCGTGTAGGTGAAACATACTATGTTTTGTGCCAGGTAACATGGTGTGTATTTGCATTGCAGTTTGTTACCCTTTCTCTTTAGCCCACCTGCTGGTGACTTTTAGACTATATTACTACTATTTTATTGATGTCTTCAAATATTTAAAATTAATTTACAGTAAATGTGTTTCCCACTTGTTTCTTTATCTTTGTAAATATGTGTTATTATGCAACACAGGCATTTAGCATCTCATTTCAGTAAACCCCAAAGGTCAGCCCAGTTTCATAATCTCAAATGATTCAAAGCATGATCATGACGTGATGGACCCTACAGGCTTTAACACTGATTCAACAGCTATAAAATAATGAAATCACAAGTGTAGCAATGATATTAGAGATATGACACTCTGAGCCAGGAATATTCTAGCAGATTTCACAAAACCTTACTGAGGAATGAGCAAGGTAATCATGCAATTAGCCGAAATACAAAACAAACTGGTCATTTTAACAACACAATTTAAATTTGTAAATGTGGGTAGTTTCTTTGATTAATTTAAACATCTTATATTGTCTAATGTTGTGAAGTGTGCACAGTATCACAGGTTCTTTTGTTTCAGTATGTCACAGGAGGGAAATGAAACCAGAGCTTTTGTTGTAACAGAGTTTTTCATCATGGGTTTTCCTGGACTTCTGCCTAAATACTACAGCCTGACAGCGGCGCTTTTATTCTGCATCTACATCGCTGTGATCACCGGCAACTCTCTCATTGTGGTTCTGTTTGTGATCGAGCGCAGTCTCCACAAGCCCATGTACATTATCATGCTGAGTCTGTCTGTGTCTGATATCTGCTTCTGCACAGTCGCTTTGCCGAAAGTCATTTCTCGCTATTGGTTTAATGACGGTTATATTTCCTTCTACGTTTGTTTATTTCAAAGGCAGCTCATTCACTATTTTGGTGCTCTGAACTGTCTCATTATGATGCTCATGGCTCTAGATCGGTACTTAGCAATCTGTCACCCACTCAGATACCCTGTTTTAATGACAAACCGCATGTTGGGACTATTATTAGGGTTTTCATGGGTCACTGCAATGATTCCTCCAACAATTACCTTAACACAAACACTGAAACTGCCATTTTGTGGGCCAAACATAATTGCTCAATGCTTTTGTGATAGTACGTCTATAAATCAGCTCGCCTGCGCTGATGCCAGCAATGCCAATTTCATTGCATTTTGTTTAATAATGTTTGTGCTTCTTGTGCCCTTTGCTTTCATCATCTTTTCCTATGCATGCATCCTGGTTTCTGTTCTTCAAATAGCAAATGCTAAAGGCCGACTGAAAGCCTTTTCTACTTGTGCTACACAGCTCACCATCATAAGCATCTTTTTTGTGCCCCGTTTTGTGGTTTTCTCCAGTAATAACCTCCCAAGCAACAATGAGAAGATCGCACTGGTCATGTTTTACAGTCTGCTTCCACCACTGATGAACCCTTTCATTTACTTCATGAGGATCAGAGAAATCAGACAGGTCTTTTTCAAATTTTGCACTCAGAGGATCATGATTAACTTAAAGGGTTAGCTTGTTTAAAACATGATATTCTACATATCGCTGTTTTTATTAATCTCATTATATGAATCCTTAGTTGATATGTGCCATTTTATGCATTTACAATATTTGTTAACATTATAGGCCTTTAATACGGTGATATTCCACATATGATTGCCATTTATCAAACATTCATTCATTCATTTTCCATTTATCAAACTTAGAACAAATAAGTTCTTTTCTCTGTCAGGCTTTTGCCGTGAGCAGGTGATAAATGATCTTTTCATGCTTAAGAGAAATAAAGACATATATGTAAGGGCGTGGGTAACATGCATTGTTTTTCTAGGAAGTTAATCTGACCTACAGTGTGTATTGAACATATCTTCTAACACTGTAGTTTTTATATATATATATATATATATATATATATATATATATATATATATATATATATATATATATATATATAGATGTTATACTATAAACAACAGACTGTTTTATGACAAACTGCAATCATATTTATTATTTTTAAAGTATTTTAATTAAGGATAAATCAGAACTACACACTGAAAATAAATAATTTTTCAAAGATTATTTCTTAGATTTAAAAATTTTCTAAAAGTTAATAAACAATTTATTTGTGCTGAATTTAAACAATAACTGCTAAATTTGTTTAAATTTAACTCATATAAGTTATTTGCAACAATTTTGTAGAAATGTATTTCCGTGTGTATATACATATCTTTTATCAATTATGTTTTTATTATCTGTTTTAATTAGCCAGTTTTTAGCTAGGGAATTTCATTAGTAGTATTTCCTATTGACAAAAAAGTACAAGATTATCATAATGTCTCAAATCACTCATCAAACAGCAGATTCTTGCCTTGTTTGAACTTAAAAAAACTGCTGTATAAAAGTATATCATAGATATCACTGCTGAATTTCAGGCCGCAATGCATGTATTCATGAGTGACTATAGTAAAAGCTCACAAGGATGATAATTGATCAGATAAAGCAGTAAAAAGTCATTTTAAATGTAAAATATATTTCACACCACAACTTTAAAGGACGGTTCACACCAACTACAATAATAACTGTTTTAGAAATGCTATGGCTTCTCTATGCCTTTTCAATGTGAACTCTGTTCATTTGTATTTAGAATGATTTTTAGAACTTTATCTATCATAAAGGTAATTGAAACAATGTCAGCTACCATTATGTTCTTTATATGTTCTTGTTTTGTTTTGGTAAACAAGTACTAACCTTCCCAGAACAAGGAACAACTTACAAATAACCTGAAAAGGATCATTGCAGACATTTTCTCTTATAGAGGGAACATTCTGTTTACCTAAAAGAAAACTTTCATGGCTAACCAACAGAGAACATTATAGGAACCAATAGCCAGCCATAGATTCATTTAATTCATAGGTTCAATAACCAGACATAGATTTATTTAGGCTCTAAATAAATTTACAATTTACAAGGCTCTGTGAACACAGCTGTTTCTCTTGCTGTCCTTACTGATACTGCAGTGAAACTGTGGACACTTGTCATCTCTTTCATTTTGGCAACCTTGAGACCATAGTGAACTTGTCTAACTGCAGAGATCATTTTTAGCATCTTAAAACATTCTTAAATCCATTCTTTTTGTTTCATTTTAATTCTAAAGCAAACTTAAAAAGTAAAAAATTAGTTGATCAACAGCCCTGAACAATTAAGCTCCAGTGTGCAGTTTTCAATGTATCCACAAGGTGGCGCAAAACATTCATGATGAACGAGCTTGATTGCTGTCTAACCTTAGATGACTCAAGGATTGAAAAGTAAAATAAAGGACAGAAACGTACAGTAAATCCTAGGAATTCTTATATGAATTTGACCTCGGATTATAATGACAGAATAAATTATTATTTTTAGAAATGGAGCAATTTATGTGCAAATGCATTTTATAAGAGTAAAGCAAAGCAATAATAGAGTATTTTAGATAGCACTGCTTTAAAAAATGACATGCTATTGTGTAACTGCAGATTAACTATGTGCCTGATAGCTGCAGGGTTCACCCTATACACAACACCTTAACTTTGTTTGATTGTGAATATAATAGCATGCACCTTTTGTAAAGCTCATTTCAAACAATCATTATCGTGAAAAGCGATACATAATAAACTTGAATTTAATTGAATTAAAGACAGTCAGCCCGTAGCATATTCACTCACCGGCCACTGTATTAGGTATACCTCTCCAACTGCTCATTCACAAATTTCTAATCAGCCAATCAAATGGCAGCCAGTCAATGCATTTAGGCACGTAGACATGGTCAAGACAATCTGCTGCAGTTCAAACCGAGCATCAGAATAGGAAAAAAATATCTAAGTGAGTTTGAATGTGGCATGGTTGTTGGTGCCAGACAGCTTTCAGAAACTGATTAACTGGCGCCAAGTATCAAAAGTAAAAACAGAATTTGCTGCGGTAGGAGAAGCTGCGTGAATCTTTTCTTTATTTAATAAATGACTTGCATCTCAGAAGACAACACCGACACGCAATGAACGTGTGGTGGCGTTTGAAAGTGTGAGACGCTGAGCACAGGCACTCTTGACAGTTTTGAATGTCATTAACAATATAATAACTCTAATATTGAAATGATTAAGGCATTTGAGAATGACCGAAACAACATTTCAGATGTTTTACAGTGTGCTCAGCCTGCTGGTTTATCCATTCACACACACACACAGTTTTTTTCCCTCTCCGCTGTCGCCACTGGCTCGCATGGTTCAGGATTGGTAGAGCTGCGCATCGATGAATTTGCTCTTCAGTGTTTGAACTCTCAGTAATGATTTTAAATCACACTGAACTGAACTGAACTTAAACACTAAAAACTGAACTACACTGTTCCAGTTACTATGACCATTTATGTGAAGCTTCTTTGACACAATCTAAATTGTAAAAACGCTATACAAATAAAGCTGAATTTGATTGAATTGAACACTTTTATCATCACATGATCTCATAGCAAAATCACATGACTTTTTTTAAATGCACATACTGGAATTTGTTCGGTTAAAGTGTTTCCTTTGTAGTTTATGTGCATTTGTTCTTATCAAATAAAACGTTTATTCTACTCGGTTGTGCGCATTTTGTTATTGCACATTTTTAAAACTTATGCATATCTAGCGTTTCCATCAACCAATTTTTTTATGCCCATATCCAAAATGCGCATAAAAGTAGGTGGATGGAATGCTACTGACAGAGCAGAGCTCATTAATGTTCATGACCCTTCCAAATAAGGAAAAAAATGAAAATCTAGAGAATTTTTGCACTTATAAAAGCAACCATCTATTTAGAAATCAATAACCATAGTGTACAGTATATGTGCATTATTTGGCACCAAAATAAGGTAATTTACAATAACTAGCATTAACAAAAAATAATAAATAGTGTTACAAATGTATTGTTTATTGTTAGTTTTGTTTAGTCAGTCACAAATGTAAACATGATACCTTATTGTATTTATAGCATCTACAGTTTTCATCAGCAGTAATCCTCTTTATATTGTGTGTAAAAATAAATCAGGACAAAGCTAGTATATAGTTAGACTAGTTTTTAGCAGGGTGTTCGCGGGGTCTTAAAAAGTATTAAAAGTTGATAAAATCAATAATGAGAAAATGAAGGCCCTTAAAAGATATTAAAGTCTTTATCACATTTTCATGAGGTCTTAAATTTTGCTGAATTTGTCCAAACTGTTTGACTCCAAAAAAAACTAAAGTATAGCATTAAAATATATATTTCCCTCCTAATATTAAGAACAGCGTGCTCGATCCATGCCATTAGTTTGGGCTGGGGTGTATCTGACCAAGCTCCTCCGTCCAGTTGATGTCACATAATTTGTGACAAACTGGCTTAAATTGGTGTGACAGATGGGAAAATGTAACTTTTGTATACTCCTGGTTGGAGAAAGACGAGTTTAACAGTGGCTGAAGCCTGTCGCTGAACAACCGCATAATTTATTCTTTCAAGCTTTGTTTCTTCCAAGCCTATCTTAGTTCTGGTGCATGGTTGTGCTCAATTTATTTATTTAACTACAACTACTTATTAAGTTAAAGGTTTAGTACTGATTAGAACTTGAAGTGGCGATGAGGTCTTAAAATATTCTGAGAAGGTCTTTAAGATGTTATTGAAATTACCTTTAGGATTCCTGCGTATTCCTTAATGTAGTTTCTGTGTAAGTGTTTGAACACATTGGTTATTGTTTAAATGTTCTGTGAGGTAAACGGACAGCTTGTAAAATCTTGAATAGGGCAGCCATGACTTAATAGATCCCAAGCCAAACTTTATCCCGTAATGATCTTCCCTAGTCCCAAAGCCCAAAGGTCAGCCCAGAATCATGAGCTCAGGTGATTCAAAGCATGATCCTTCATGACGTGATGGACCCTACAGGCTTTAACACTGATTCTGCAGCTATAAAATAATGAAGTCACAAACAGAGTTAATATGGGAGACGTGACACGCAGAGCCAGGAATATCCTTATCTTATTCTTATATTCTTGTACTGAAGAATAAGCAAGGTAACCATGTGATAAAATTGCAGATTTGAACAATTAATACTATTTAGTAACTAAATATTATATTTACTTATAATTAAGTGCATGTTTTATAATTGAATTTAAAATTCTGTGTGATCATTTTATTAATAACTGTGTTTTTAACATTTTGAAGAGAATTTTCTTCACCTCATGTTAATGTTTTTGGCAAATCATTCTCAATTTCAGCAAGCAAATTCTTTTGTCATCTGCAGTTGACTGTATGTTTCAGTATGTCACAGGCAAACGACACCACAGCCTCTACTGTAACTGAGTTTTTCATCATGGGTTTTCCTGGACTTCTGCCTAAATACTACAGCCTGACAGCGGCGCTTTTATTCTGCATCTACATCGCTGTGATCACCGGCAACTCTCTCATTGTGGTTCTGTTTGTGATCGAGCGCAGTCTCCACAAGCCCATGTACATTATCATGCTGAGTCTGTCTGTGTCTGATATCTGCTTCTGCACAGTCGCTTTGCCGAAAGTCATTTCTCGCTATTGGTTTAATGACGGTTTTATTTCCTTCTATGTTTGTTTGTTTCAAAGGCAGCTCATTCACTATTTTGGTACGTTGAACTCTCTCATTATGATGCTCATGGCTTTAGATCGATATTTGGCGATCTGTCACCCACTCAGATACCCTGTTTTAATGACAAACCGCACTATGAGACTGTTAGTAGGGTTTTCATGGGTCACTGCAATGATTGCACCATCAATTAGTTTATCTTTAACACTGAAACTGCCATTCTGTGGGCCAAACATGATTGCTCATTGCTTCTGTGATTCTTTATCAATGAATCAGCTCGCCTGTGCTGATGCATCCTTCTATAACCTTATTGCCTTCGGTGTGGCGATGTTTGTGCTCCTCGTTCCATTATCCTTCATTATATTTTCCTATGCAAGTATCTTAGTTTCTGTGCTTCAAATAGCAAATGCAAAAGGCCGACTGAAAGCCCTTTCTACATGTGCTACACAGCTCACCATCATAAGCATCTATTACGTGCCACGCTTTGCAGTTTACATCACTTCTAACGTCCCGAATGCGCAGATGGACAAAGCTGAGAAGATCGCACTGGTCATGTTTTACAGTCTGCTTCCACCACTGATGAACCCTTTCATTTACTTCATCAGGATCAGAGAAATCAGACAGGTCTTTCTCAAATGCTGTGCTCAGAGGAAAAGGATGATCAGTAGCTCAACAACTGTCTCTAAATAAGTCTGCTTGGTGTTTACATGCATCTCGTATACATTAAATGATTTATGCGCTGTTCTTTTGTATTTACACATTTTAATTTGCAATCTTTTTTGGTTGCGCTTTATTTTGATGGGCTGTTTGTTGAATTTACTGTAAGTGACATTGTATCTACATGCCAGTTAATTCTCATTAGATTATAAGTAGGTTGGGGTTAGTGTTAGTTGACATGTACTTGCAAAGTTTCCTAGTTTAATGTCTGTTGAAGGAGCAGTATTAGCAGATACTAAAAAGTCAGTCTACTAATACTCAAATGGACCATCAAGATAAAGTGTTACCTTTTTTTTTAACCCTGGACCCCAAAATCAGCACTTTATTGCAATTGAGATGCGTACATCATCTAAATGCTGAATAAATATGCTTATTGTTGATGTACTGTTTGTTAGTGCAGGACAATATTTGGTCAAGATACAAATAATTGAAAATGTCTGAAGGTTCAAAAAAAAAAAAAAACTGAAATCCCCTTTAAATTTGTCTAAATCAGGAGTGCCCGAACTTTTCTTATGAAGAGCCAAAAACCAAACTTGATTGAGGCTAGTGGGCTGAAAGTAAATATAGGTGGGGCAATTTACCTGGGGTAACTTCCTAATTTATTTAATAATGTTTAAAAATGACTAGAAAGCACCTAATACAGTATTTTTTACATTGTATAATGAACTTATTACAGTAAAAACAAAACAATCTAGTTTATAACAGAATTACACTAGTTTTTGCCTTGATTTGCTTGCATAGTCTTCTTTTATCCGTCGAGTGACAGTATATATATTTTAAACAACCAGATTCATTTTCATTTGATTGAAACATTTAATTTCTGTTTGTTTGTTTTTATTATTTTTTTGTAGTTCAGCAATTTATTTGTACAGTAATAGCAGAAAATATGACCACATTACCCCTCTTCTAAGAGGCCTTCATTGGCTGCCTGTGCATTGATGTGAATTGATTTTAAAGTGCTTTTACTGGTTTATAAATCCCTCCATAATCTAGCCCCATCCTATCTCTCAGAGCTGCTTCATCTTTCCACTCCTGTGAGATCTCTTAGATCAAGTGAGCAGAATCTTCTTTCAGTTCCACAGTCTAGGCTGAAACGTAGAGGGGACAGACCTTTCTCTGTGGCAGGCCCTCTGTTGTGGAACACCTTGTCCCCTGAGATTAGAATGGCTTCATCATTATCCATTTTTAAATGACTTCTTAAAACGTACCTTTCCGTTCTACGGCTAATTTTCAAAAACTTTCCATTGTATCCACATATCAATATTTGGGAATCAGTCTGGACTCTCACCTCACTTATTGTAACCATGTTCAAAATGTTTATAAAAAGCTGAAACAAAAGCTATTTGTTTATGGCAAAATTAGGACAAATTTGTCTTTTTCTGTTTCAGAAACTTATCTGCATGCCATAATCTTGTCTACCTTGTCTTACTGTCTGCCTATTTGGTCTCTCACAACAAATGATATCTTGAAGCCAATAGCTAGACTATACAATAGGGCCTATAAGATACACAACAGACTTTCTGGATAGACACATCACTGTTTTGCTCTATCACTTTCTAAAGCTTTAACATTTCAAAACTACATTATGAACACAGGTATCAAACTGTACTATCAAATTTTAAATAGCTCTACCTCAGCAGCCCTTTGTGCATTGGTACCTAAACTCCACACAAGGACTGATCGTTCCACCAGATCTGTAACAAATGGATGTTTGCCAGTACCGGCTTTTAAAAACTGTTATGGACAGAGATCTTTCTTTTATGTATTCACAAGAGTCTGGAATGAGATCCCACAACATCTCAAAACAATACCAACACTGAGACTTTTTAAGAAATCCCATGCTCGTCATCTGATGGTCAACTATCGCTGTAGCCACTGAGATAGTAGCCTGCTTTTTTTCTTTTTTTCTTTATCTTAAATGTTTGGTGATTGTTTGTACTGTGTTGATGGATGAGATGTTTGTCTGTTTTTATGTTCTGCAGAGCAGGAACCTGCTGAAAAACAGCATTCATGCTGAGTCAGGCCCGATTATCTTTTAATCTTTTCCTGTTTAAAAATTTAAAATAAAAATAAATAAAAAATAATTTTTTTTACCTTGACTTATGTACAGCACGTTGGTCAGTCTTGTGACTGCTTTTAAATGTGCTTTATAAATAAATGAACTTGAACTTGTTGCTCAGCAATAAAATCAACAAAAAAGGTTACGCCAAACTAGAAATGAATATTTCTGTATTAAAGGCATTGACCTGAACCCTCTCCGTCGTACTCACGGTCCTCTCAGATGGGATGGTTGGCCAAATGGAAGGCTATAATGGGCTAACTTTGGCACGTGGGCCCTACTTTGGGCATCTCTGGTAAAAATGACGTTCCTAGCAATATATATTACTAAAAAACAGTGTAATTTTAAATATTTACTGTACGAAATTATCAAAATATCTTCATGAAACATAAGCTTTACCTAATATTCTAATGATTTTTGGCATAAAAAAATGATAATTGTGACTATTGCCAAAAAGATACCCCTGCAAATAAAGACTAGTGTTGGTGTCCATGATCATATATTTTAGTCCTTTTAAATATGTATTAAGCACATGAAACGCCTTGCAGTAAATGGTTTGATACACAAGATCATCTTTCTTTGGCCATTCTACTTTTACAGTAAATTGCAGCTCTAAATCTTCATTTTAAAAAAGAAAGAGCAAAATTCTCAGAAAAAAGAATAAGTTATAATACAAAATGTTATCGTAAATAATTAACCTTTTGTTGACAAATGAGTAAAACAAACCACAAGAGTAGTGGCAAAGTATAAGGATTTGAAATGGGCATTAATTACTATTTTGCGTCTTTCAATCTCTCTATATGATTGTTGGTTTAAATTATTTTGTTGGTTTAAATTTAATTTGGTAACTATACTGTGTGGCGTTGGGTGTCTTGTGTTCCTGTAAATATTATTTGTATATATATACTTTTTTAAATTAATGAATGAGACATCACCCTAATGTACATGGGTATAAACCATTTCATTAATAATTTAGTCACCAAACATTTAGAAATAATAAGATATAAAACAATCATATTTAAAAACATTAAATTAAATAAATTTTATATATATATATATATATATATATATATATATATATATATATATATATATATATATTATTATTATTATTATTATTATTAAAAACCTTCAAAATTTCAACTAAATTTTTGTAAAAAAAAAATTGATTTGTATTTAATATTGTTTTTTAACATATAAATTTGGGTGTACTAGTTTTTGGACTTTTATCATAAGTTACTTTGTTAGATTAGCTCTAGATTTGCCTTCAGTACTGACTAATCTAATGTACATGCACAAATATAATATTGTATTGCTTCCTTTTAAAAATATGAACTTAAAAGAGAGATTTATGAGGGGTGTACTCATATATGCTGAGCTCTCTGTGTAATATTTAATAAATAAAGCACGTGTATATATGTAATTATTTTAAATATATGATTTGTTTAATAATTTTACCTTATTTATTAAGGGGCTATGGAATATTCAGATAGCAAAAACATTTGCTATATTTTAATTAGAAAATTATTAATCAAGATCCCTGTTTTTTTGTGTGCAGTATGGATGCTGGAATGAATTTATTATTGTGAAAACCTTACAAAGACAGTCCTTTCTAGTGCCTATACATAAATGTAAGCAAGATTGTTTTCATTTCAGTGACATGGACAGCATGTGTAAATATTGCAGCCAATAATATTTCGCTCTTCAATTTTGGACGTTCATTTATAAAAAGGTTTAAATCATGGGTCTCAAACTCTATCCCTGGAGGGCCGCAGCAGTTGGAGGTGGTTGGAGCTAAAATCTGCAGAGCTGCGACAAAAAAATATTAATGTAATACAGTATTAGCTGATGCTCATAGTAATGAAGTAAGTAGTGTTGAATGAGCTGTCAAAGGCCTTTTATTTGTTCTGTTTTATAGGCCTACTTGTGAAGGCCAAATAACATTTGACATGTATCTGGTTCTTTCCCTGTGCTGGGTTGCAGCTGGAAGGGCATCCGCTGTGTAAAACATATGCTGGATAAGTTGGCAGTTCATTCTGCTGTAGCGACCCCTTATTAATAAAGGGACTGAGTCGAAAAGAAATTTGGTTCTCAGTAGTTATGAAGGCTGATAGGTCAACACACTCATTTTTTTAAATTATTTATTTGTTTATGATAGTATAGTGATGTATAGTTAGACCTAACAAAATACAGATTTAACCGTTTCTTTATATAGACTCCCGCGTTTTTTATACCTGTGAGGGATGTCGTAAAAAGAAAGTGTTATTATTAAGCAGGTGTGATTAATAACTACTGTAAGCTCATGTTAGGCTATTTTGGCCACCTAACGTTACCATGGTTAATCTTGTAGGCTAATTAAAAAGATCATTAAATGTTATTATCTTTATTTAAAACATTATAAAATCGTATTATGAATCGCGTTGTGTTAACCTAAATATATTTCTTGATATTGTGATTAAATCAAAATTCAGTCCTCAAAAAGTGAATGTCTGTATGACCGCTTCAGTTCCACTAGAGGGCGCTGTGGTGGCAAATAAAATGTGTTCATACTAAATAAGGCGATAATTCATTTAGTTTTATGCATATCTTTTAATTGAGATATTTGTACACGAAAATAAACTACAATTAATAATATTAACAATAATACATACGTATTTATATTGATGATAAACATTTTATTGGATTGTATTCAGTTTGTGTGTGAATGTGAATATGTGTGTAACTATGATTTCTTCCACAAGGTGGCGCAGAAAGCTCGCAGTAAAAAGTATTTGACATCAGGAACTATGGGGCTGGTTGTGGTGTGATGATTTATTAAGAAAAAGATCAGCTAACGTTCATGATTAAAATATCACATCTTTCAGGAATGCACTGTTCTCTGCATATCTAAGCTGCCAAATATTTAAAAGCTGAATTGATCAAAACACTGTTCAAAACCGGTTAAAAATTACAATATCTGAATATATTTCACAAATGTCATTTGTTCTCGTGACACAATGCTGAAGTCAGCAAGACTTTGGTGCCACAAATCGTTCGAATATGCTGCACTTATTATCAGTATTGAACACTGTGCTGCTGCATTTTTTATCTTTTTTTTATTATTATTTTGATAAACAAGTTTTTGTTTTTTGCTTATTTCTTTTAATTTCTTTATAATTGAAATGTAAGACATCGGTTAAAATCTTTTTTAATTATGATTATTATTTACTGGATTTATTAGGTGTTGATTGGAGTAAAGTGTTAACTTTTGTTTTAAGGTCAGATGAAAATTCATTCAAGTTTCTATTAAATTTTGTCATTTAGAGCCTCAATTTCTACAGTGATAATTGGTCAAAATTCAAAGTTTTGATGTTGTCACTGAAAATCAGTGTTATTTTATCAAACTCCTTTGCAGTTAAAACATTGCCAATTATGTTGTCTAAAATTACAATAAAAGTAACAAAAAAACTTGGCATATTTTAATTCATAGACAAAGTTCTAAATGACAATATTGTTTTAGGAAAAATGTCATTTTCTTTTATTCTGTGAACTTCATTTTATTACTATACACACACACACACACACACACACACACACACACACACACACACTGGCCGCTTTATTAGGTACACCTGTCCAACTGCTCGTTAAATTTCTAATCAACCAATCACATGACAGCAACTCTATGCATTTAGGCAAGTAGACATGGTGAAGACGATCTGCTGCAGTTCAAACCGAGCATCAGAATGGGGAAGAAAGGTGATTTAAGTGACTTTGAATGTGGCATGGTTGTTGGTGTCAGACAGGCTGGTCTGAGTATTTCAGAAACTTCTGATCTACTGGGATTTTCACGCACAATTATCTCTAGGTTTTACAGAGAATGGTCTGAAAAAGGTCTGGTAAATGCCTTGTTGATGCCAGAGGTCAGAGGAGAATGGCCTGACTGGTTAAGCTGATAGAAAGGCAACAATAACTCAAATAACCACTCGTTACAACCGAGGTCTGCAGAATCTGAATACGTAACACGTCCAACCTTGAGGCAGATGGGCTACAGCAGCAGAAGACCACACCGGGTGCCACTCCTGTCAGCTAAGAACAGAAAACTGAGGCTACAATTCACACAGACTCACCAAAATTGGACAATAGAAGATTGGAAAACATTGCCTGGTCTTATGGGTCTCGATCTCTGCTGCGACATTCAGATGGTAGGGTCAGAACCTGGCGTCAACAACATGAAAACATGTATTGTATTGGGTGTCTTCTGTAAGTCCCTTAAATATGGTTTGTATATATATATACACCGTAATGTACATGGGGATAAACCATTTGTTTTTGCGGTTGATTCATGCTAAACTCATATAATATTTAAAATATAAAGCACATGTGTATGTGTAATTGTGCATATATGGTTTATTTATTCATTTAACCTAGATTATTAAGGGGCTTTGAAATATTTATGCTTCAAAAAAACATTTGGGGGCGGTACGGTGGCGTAGTGGGTAGCGATGTTTCCTACCAACAGGAAGGTCGCTGGTTCAAGCCTCGACTGGGTCAGTTGGCATTTATGTGTGGAGTTTGCATTGCATAGGTTTCTTCCGGGTGCTCCTGTTTCCCCCCACAAGTTCAAAGACAGATGGTAGGGTCAGAATTTGGTGTCAACAACATGAAAACATGGATCCATTCTGCCTAGTATCAGCAGTTCAGGCTGCTTGTGATGTAATGGTGTGGGGGATATTGTCTTGGCACACTTTGTACCAATTAGTACCAATTGAGCATCGTGTCAACGCCACAGCCTACCTGACAACACTGTACTCATCTTCTAATGGCTACTTCCAGAAGGATAATATGTCGTAAAGCATGAATCACCTCAGACTGGTTTCTTGAACATGGCAATGAGTTCACTGTACTCAAATGGCCTCCACAGTTACCAGAACTCAATCTAATAGGCCTCTTTAGGATGTGATGGAATAGAAGATTCACATCAACTGCGTGAGACTATTAAGGTGTACCTAGTAAAGTGGCTGGTGTGTGTGTGTGTGTGTGTGTCAGTCAGAAGTATCAGAAGACAAACACAAGCACTTGACTTGAATAATCTGGATTCTTTATTCAGTTTATAGATGTATTTCCATTTGTATTTTAGAGAATGAGAAGCATTAGTTTTATTTACAATTATCTTTTTAAAAACTTCAGCTCTGTACAGATTTAAACCCTGATAAGGACCAATATTTTTCAGACCGAGTGCGGTGTTAAAAAGCAGAAAAGCAAAGACCACATACAAAGAAAAGGAAGATTATATCAAATTATGAACATTTAAAAAAAAAATAATGATAACAAAAACACGGTACAGTAATTTCTTCAACCATTAGAGAGGGGGTTGCTGCTGTTAAAGTACATGACATAGTCAGCGTCTCACTGCTCCGAATGCTAATGTGCTAACTGTTTAAAACTATCATACACTAGACACCAATATATATCAACAATCTATAGTTATGTTCTCTATAAGATTCATATTAAATATACTCTACACGTATGTAACCTTCCAATACGGTTCCCATTTGGAAAAACAAGGGGAAAGAAAAAAATTGACACCGATTTAGAAATGAAACAGCTCACGTTTCTGTCTTGTGCAAACAATTTTTATATATATCTAAAAAGTAGGGAGAAATAGAAACCAAGCCAAACTTCATTCCACAGATTTCTTCTGGCTCCAAACGCAAGCATTAATTTACACCAACTACGCTTGGGAGGGGGAAATAAAGGGATAGTCGGACCCTTCCTAAAAAAGAGAGCAGCTCCGATCAATCTAAAGAAAACACTGGATGACTGTCAAAACACAGTCGCAAATGTTATTAGTTATTCATTACGTGTTATTTAGACTTTCCAAGCAGACGTCCGGAGATCCGCCCTCCTGCAAATCAACGTTTCAGCAATCTCCAGGATTAAAAAGGGCCATCCAAACCAGAAACATTTCTCGAGCGTTCATCATCAGGCACATCAATACTTGTTCTCCTGGACAGACACTGCTTAGCACTTCACCAGAACAGTCCGCCGGTGAAGCGTGTGCTAGTATTTCATGCATCTCCTCTGCAGCGGTTGCGCTGTTAAACGTGAAAAGTTCATCAGACCCTGTGTAAATTCATTCTTCCCTCCTGAGAGGAAGAAATGGAGGGCCTGGAGTCTCTTCATCCTCACTGAATCATTCATGTTTACTATGTGCAATAAAAAACTGATCAACAAGGGCCTCCTCCATGTGCAAACCGGCAGAAGAAGCTGTGTGTGTGTGTGTGTGTGTTTCAGTGAGTTCATGGAGGTGTTAGAAAAGGTGTGTTTCAATGAGTTCTTGAAGGTGTTAGAGATAGTGTGTGTGTGTGTGTGTGTGTGTGTGTGTGTGTGTGTGTGTGTGTGTGTGTGTGTGTGTGTGTGTGTGTGTGTGTGTGTGTGTGTGTGTGTGTGTGTGAAGGCGGGACGCTTTTATTATATGCTGCTCTCCAGGTTGGATGATCATCTTTTGGCTTGAATCTCAGATCTGCGTGTGTGTGTTTTTCTCTCCGGCTCTTGCTAGTCTGGTGTGAGTAGTTGTTTAAGCAGCTTCGGGCGGTGGGTGACGGGACACACTCATTCAGAGGGATGAAGGGACGCATTTACAGGATCACACAACAGTTGCTCTCTCCAGTCTTTTCCCGGTTCCTCTGACCTGAAATAAATAAACAGAAATCAACAGTGTTTAATATTACTGAATCACAACCTCTAGTGAAGCTGCGCAAATATTATTTTCGAAATTGAGATCATTCATTTTCATTCCGAGGGTGACATGGTGGCTCAGTGGGGTAGCACTGTCGCCAAACCGCAAGAAGGTTGCTGGTTTGAGTCCCATCTGGGTCAGTTGACGTTTCTGTGTGGAGTTTGCATGTTCTCCCCATGTTGATTTCCTCCGGGTGCTCCGGTTTCCCCACAGTCCAAACACATGCGCTATAGGGGAAATGAATAAACTAAATCGGCTGTAGTGTATGTGTGTGAATGAAAGTGTATGGGTGTTTCCCAATATTGGGTTGTAGCTGCAAGGGTATCCGCTGTGTAAAACATATTGATAAGTCGGCGGTTCATTCCTCTGCCGTGATCTCTGATGAATAAAGGGACTAAGCCAAAAAAATTGAATGAACTTTCCTTCGGATTAGTCTCTTTAATTGACTGAAATCTCGTCTTGTATGTCTTAAATAATTTTAAACGGTGTTAATTTTCCTTTGTTTATGTAAAGCTGCCCAATCGATACAAATCGCATCCAATCACCAACAACACATCTCAAGAAAACATTTAGCAAAACTATTCATAACTAATATTAAAACTGTAGTCTGAGCCATACATTTCGTTTTTAAAGATTTTTTTTAAGTTATGTTGAACAAAAATTGATGTATAAAACCAAGATCTGCTTCTTATGAAAATATATATATAAATAATAGATATATTGTTTTTCTGCTGGGTCATAAAAAAATCCTTGTCTAGCCCTATATAAGTCCAAAATTTAGTTCTTGGTCTTAAAAAGTCTTAAATTTGACTTGGTGAAACCTGCAGAAACCCTGCTTATTTATCACTGGTCGCCACATCGGAATGAACTGCCAACTATTCCAGCACATGTTTTACGCAGCGGATGCCCTTTCAGCCGCAAAATTAAGATAATTCTTCTACAATTCTGAATAGATGACTGATTTTAAAAAAGTCACTTCAACAAATGATTTAATGACTGGTTTAATAAAAACTACAGGGTGAATCTGTTCATTATAGAACAAATCAATGAAATCTATGAAATATTGACTGTTATAATAAGATGTAAGTGCGTATGTCTGTGTACAGTTAATTTATCATATTTAAATGAGTGAATTAATGAAGGCGGCATGGTGGCTCAGTCTATAGCACTGTCCACAGACATGGGGTATAGGTGAATTGCATAAACTAAATTGGCTGTAGTGTATGGGTGTTTCCCAATCCCACTACTGGCTTGCACCGTGTAAAACATATGCCGGAATAGTTGGAGGTTCATTCCGCTGTGGCGACCTCTGAAATAGAGACTAAGCCAAAGATGAATGAAACTAACGAATAGATTACTCACTCATATGCTCAAGATAACTTTATTATTTTTGTGAACAAATGATTCAATGACTCGCTTAAACACTTCACTGTACTGGATGATTTTGCTTTTTCTGAACCATTGTCTTGAACAAATGAGTCATAACTCACTCAGAAAAAGAAATTCACTCATTACTAGATGAATCAGCATATATGAACAAATCAACAAATTATGACTCTTAAAATAAGATGCTGAAAAGTCAAAATGTGAATTGGTGCAGTCTGTGTAAAACATATTTATTCTGTTATTTTGTTAAATGAAAGATCAGATGAAACAGATACTTCACAACTGGAGAAATTATTTAACAAATGATTAACTCATGAATACTTAATTATTGCATTACTGGATGAATCTGCTTTTCCTGAACAACTGTCTAACCAAATGATTCAATGACTCGCTTATAAAGACTTTTACATTACTAAATGAATCTGCATTTTTAAACAAAGCTATTAAACAAATGATTCAATGAGTCACTTGTAAGGCTTCACTTGTGACTTATGACTGAGTGAATCAGTGTGGATTTAATATTAAAAGTGTCAAGAAACAAAGCGTCATCAGTGTTTACATATGATGTTTATATGTGAACTTTATAAGATCTATAAACTGTGCTCTCTGTACGTCTGTGATCATTTGACTTTTCATACCATAAAGGTACTGTGTGGCTGAAATCATCAGAGACTGGAGGTGTTCATAACTATAAATGACACCTGCTCTCTGTGAGTCAGTAGCAGCACACGGGTCAGAGGATTTGCTGTGATCTGACTTGTCAAAGGTTAAATAGACAGTCAAATTGCTGTCGTTTAGGAATAAGACTGTGTGGGTGTTTGAATCTAGTGCTCAGAAAGCATTTTTTTAAAGCTTCATAGGAATTCTTTTATAGAGGTAGGCAACATAATAATGTTAGCTTGTATGATGCATATTTTATTCTTTTCACGAAAAGCATCTTTCACACGCTCAACAACAAAAAATATGCATACGTTATGGTGGGCAAAGTAAAAGAAAAACATGTAAACTTCATTCATTTAGAAGACCTTAAAGGTGCCCTATAAGGAAAATCTGGATATACCAGGGCATGGTACAATAATAAAAGATCAGTATGTGGAAATGGGCATACTGTGAGCCTCAGACACCACTGTTTCCTCATTCTCATGTAAATTCCACAAGTGTAAAGCTGCGGTCACATTAGAGATTGAGCATGCGATATTCTGTCGTGCGGCGCTGCGAAAAGGGGCGGGATTAACAAGCTTATTAGACATATTAAAAAGCGAGCGATTGCTTCATGTTTTAAATTTCTGTCCAGAGAGGTCATGTTTTGATCCTTGATAGGTCACGCAGTTAAGCAATGCGATTTCGCAGGTCAGAGTTCACCACGTTTGAACTTTGCACCGCAGCAACCTGCGAAACTTGACGCATGACCCTGCGTTTCCAGTCTGACGCATTCGCATGCGTATGAATGGAAGTCTATGGGAGGAAAAGCCCAGTGTGACCGCAGCTTAAACCCTGGTGGACAACGGGCCAATCAGAAGACAACAAAACTGTGACGAGACTCACGGCCCATGGCCTTTGCATTTGCATGTGTGAATAATTTGGGTCGTTTATCCGGATGGGTAGCCATGTCATCAAGCTCTGAGATCATTAATATGCACACCAGTGTTTGATAAACAACAACATTTTCTCCCTTAGTTATTTTTAAGCGTATATTTTACTTACTATGTATGTGGGACTTTTATTTTGAAAATGCAAGCGCCAAATTGTTTATTGTGTTACTGGGCAATGAAAGACATGCTTCAATATCGCCTCAGGACACACAATGCAAAATGTACAGATTACACATTTATTCATCTCCACTCTGTAGAGACATACGGTGTGTTTAGTTGCATCTATTGTTAATTTATTAATGCATCTATTGTAAATAACTGGGTTTATATTTGTCTGTGCTCAGCGTACATCATGCAGTGTGTGTGTCTGTAAGAGCAGCACAAGCGAATATTCATGACACAAACCATACATGTTCAATCATAGACCTTCTGATTTTATGGAGTAATAAATGAGCTTGTAAAACCATTTCTAGATTTTTTTTTTATTTATCAAAGCCATAAACCTACTATGTAGATATCAGAAAACAATTGAACTTATTAAACCAATGCAGCATATGGCACTCTTACCAAATAATGTGTCCCAATGCTACTTACATTTACTGGAGTAATACAGAATTAGCATTATAGAATTCAAATCAGCATTCATTTAAACTACTTAAAAGAGTTTTTGTGTATTTTGCATAAAAGAAGTAAAATAAAAAAAACTAAAACATCAAGAAAATGAAAAACAGAAAATGCTAAAAAAAAAATTATAAATGACTCCAAATATGCATTATACCTACATATTCATTGTTCACCTGAACTATAAATCAATAAAATTGCATCATTTTGTCTCGTAATTTTTTTTTTTCATTGTTGTTAATATTGCAAAATCAAACTAGCAAGCTTTCAATTCATAGTTTTTTGCCTAAAAATATTGCTGTAGGCCAGGAATGATCCCCATTCTCTCAGCTGGTGATTTCTGAGGAAAGTGAAGGCTGCAGTGAATCAGGGAGCGTGTGAAAAAGTGAAGGAGGCGTGTGCAGAAAAGACAGAGGGCAGTACGGTTACCTTGGGAATTTGGCTCGGGCAGCGTCTCTCTGGCAACTAAATGCATCACTGTGGTTTTTCCGAGAGGCAGTTTTAAAACTGGAAGACAGGAGAAAAAAAAAAAAGACTGAATGACCACACAAGAGACTAATGCAGCTGTACATACACAACACCGGAGTCACTTTTCAAGGAGATGCAGACGCAGGACAGAGGATGACATGTAAACCTCTGGATCATTTCAGTCTGTATCTTATTGAGAGCTGTCACTGACTCTGAGGCTCTCCTGACTTCTGCCTTCACGCCTTGGTTCTCCTGAATGGAGAAGGTGTCAGCGTGCATTATCAAACTGACACTTCTCTGGCAAACCCTGCCTGCGCTACACCATCACGTCATCGGCTGTTCAGATCAGAAGCTGGGTTTTTTTATTCACTCGTAGTTACTCAGACATGTTTTACCCAGACAAAACATACTGGAAAAACTTTCTATCAGCAATATATTTACCCTTTTCACAAGTCACAATTCATTATTTTATAAATACAATAAAAAACTGTAGGAGTTATTATAAGCATAAGCACAATATGAACCTATAGGAGTTACTATGAGGATGTTTTTTAAGATTAATATTTGGTAAAAATTTAGAAAGAAACAACCTCTAGAAAACATTGTCTGACTTTTCTAACAAAGTTGATGGATGGATGGATGGATGGATGGAGATAGATAAAAGGTATGGAGCTAGCTTAGTATCTATAGTATTTCATGCAAAAGACACAATGTACACATGCGTAGCCAAATTCACATGCATGAAACCAAATTCACGTGTGTAAAATATTTATTTATATTCACACAGAACAATTCACGTGCACAAAAGAAAAATATATATTCATAAAATAAATTTCACAAATGCAAAACACCATTTGCAAATGAGTGTACAATGAGTTTTGAATGTTCAAAATTTGCGAGTTCATTCTGAATGAGAATATGCAAATCCTCTTTTTATGTACAACTCCCCCTGGATGTGTGTGTGTGTGTGTGTGTGTGTGTGTGTGTGTGTGTGTGTGTGTGTGTGTGTGTGTGTGTGTAAGCAGGCGACTTGTACCTTTCATAGAGCTGTATTCGATGAAATGCACTCTGCGCTCCTTTATACTCAGTCGGGAAAACGGAGTAAGAGATGCGCAGGCTTCAAGCAAGAGCTATTAAATTCCCTGACTAAAAACTTAATTTACATTATATCTAATGAACGTAAACAAGCTGTTGTTGTGCTTTAGTAACCTAATATGTAAAATAGATAATATAATTCGCTAATAAATATATAAATGTAATCATTTTTAAATGATTCTCATGAGTTTATTTTTTCTTTATTAAGCTAGAAACTAAAACAATTGACAATGAAAATATCACAACATAAACTAAGTGTTTATTTGCTTATCACGGGCTGTAGTAAACTTATTAGCAATTAAATTAAAGCAAACGGATGGATGGATGGATGGATGGATGGATGGATGGATAGATAGATAGATAGATAGATAGATAGATAGATAGATAGATAGATAGATAGATAGATAGAAAAAAAGTTATAATAGACAGATGAATAGGTGACAGAGATAGATAGATAAAAAGTAAAAGGTAAAATAGACATGGATAAACAACGGACAGAAAGATGAAAATGAAGAGATGGATGGATGGATGGATACAGATAGATAGATAGATAGATAGATAGATAGATAGATAGATAGATAGATAGATAGATAGATAGATGGATGGATGGATGGATGGATGGATGGATGGATAGATAGATAGACGAAAAGTGAAAATTAAAGAAAAAAGGTAAAATAGACAGATGAATAGATGACCGAGATAGATAGATAAGTAAAAGTTAAAATAGACATGGATAAACAACGGACAGAAAGATAAAAATGAAGAGATGGATGGATAGATAGATAGATAGATAGATAGATAGATAGATAGATAGATAGATAGATAGATAGATAGATAGATAGATAGATAGATAGATAGATAGATAGACGAAAAGTGAAAATTAAAGAAAAAAGGTAAAATAGACAGATGAATAGATAACAGAGATAGATTGATGGAAAGTAAAATAGACAGATGGATAGACGACAGACAGAAAAATGAAAATTAATGGATGTATAGTTATAGAAAAGACAGAAAGATGAAAAGTAAAATAAATTAATGGATAGCAAACAGAAAGATGAAAAATAAGGGATGCATGGATGAAAAGTAAAAAAAGACGGATGGATGACAGACAGAAAGATGAATATTAAGGGAAAGTTAGATAGACAGATAGATAGATAGACATGTGCTTTCTCACACACATTCTCAGCCTCTCTCGTTTATTGTTGCTGCAGAGATGGCCAAACAAATAAAAACGTGTTTCCTGTTCACGCCCAAAGAATTTCCTCTCCTCCCTGTTTTCTCTCCCTGATGACAGGTCTGTCCGCCACTGCTTTCCTACTTCCATGCTCTTACTCTTTTCCCTTTAATCTCCAAGACAAACTTGCATCCGCATTTTGTGAATATTTGATGGAATAATGCGTGTTTTAGGAAGTTAACTCTGTTCAAAACTGGAGAACAGTGACATGTAGGAGCTTCTGGTGCGTTTTACATTCAACTGTGAAAGAACCAAACTGCACTGCAAAAATGGATCAATCCCAAAAGTCCACCTGGCAGAGAAAAAGTAGCTCTTTCTCAGACAAATGATTATGCATGCGGCACAGCGATTTATTTGATGACAGAACTGAGAGTGTGTGATGTGATATGAGTAATGTTCATGGGGTGTGTGGCTCACCTCCTAGCGTCACATTGCCGTGTAGGAATCGGCCCTGATAGATGAGACGCACGATGTTCGGGCTGCTTACTTGTTCCTCCTCCCAGTCTGTTAAAGACAGAACGAATGAGAAAGATTGTTGTTTATGCTGTACACAAATCTATGAGTATCTGAAATCAGTATACACTGAATATTAAAGGCACAATATGTCAGACTTTATCATTAAAATATCCAAAAACCACTAAAACGGTGTTATATGTTTTGCTGACTTAAGCACTTAAGTTATACCAAGTCCTTTAAAGAATGTAAGCAAGTTTAACTATGGCCCGTTTCCACTGAGTGGTACGGTACTCAGTCATTACTAACCTTTCTATGAACATGATTTGATTATAACTGCAGATCAATGATAGATCAGTAGCCTAATGTAATGTCTGCAGTTATATAAAATAAATAAATAAATCCAACATATATGAACACATCCAGACCCGTACAGTCTCTGATATGTTACCAATTACAGAAAAACTACACACATCATACATTTAGTCCTTATTTGGGTTCATAAGCACGTAACATATAGCCCACAGTAACCTCTCATCTGTTTCTTTAATCTTCACCAGCAGATGTAACCTCTGTTAGAGAGTTATTCCATCATTCCGGGTTCATAATAATCCATAAGGTGATGATAATAGTTCAACAGGGCTGTTTGTTTATCTTTTAGGTTGCTGAAAGAATCATTTGCTCCTTTGTTTTTTCCAGCTTCTCCTTTGTTTATTTAATGCTTGAGTCTCGTGTTTGTCCGATTCTAAAAGGATTGGATGTCAGAAGCACTTCAAAAATATTATCATCAGCTCAAGTTCGTTATTTCAAACTTAGACATGCGGCAAGCGCATAAGCTCTCTCTCTCTCTCTCTCGTGAAACCGCTTGCACTTTTAGACTGCCTTGCCAAACAAAAACAGGACATGGCAGATTTTGTTCTTCTTGGCTTTGTTTCTGGTCATCGATATGGCGACAAGGTTTGTTTGAGCTCGGGTTGACCATGGCTCATTATTATATGTATATATTATTACGATGTAATGTCTTGGTTGTGTTTTTAAAAATGGCGGCTCCTTTGTTTTCATTCACCTAGCTTGTACATGTGCCAGTGATGCTTCTCTGTAAATGTAGCATTACATTGCGCATCTTGCTCCGCCTTTTGGTACGCTTTTGTTGTGCTAGGTACCCCTTTGAAAGGGTACCCAAAAAGGGGTACGGTTCACTTTTTGGTATTTTTTGACAGTGGAAATGGCGATAAAGGGTATCATAGCACTCAGTGGAAACAGCCCACTAGTGATATGAACTGTGTCCAGTTTGGTCATGCTAATGACTTCCTTGATTTTCAGTTTGGTTTTATAGAAAACGTGGAAACACCAAAGATGTTTTAATATCGATATCTTCTTGTGTTTTATTAGACTGCACATAGCAGTATTATAACAGAAGCCTATAGTGTATTTAGTATAATAAAACAGATCTGTGGCATAATGAAAGCTCTGCTACTTTTGTGTCGTATCACGCTCATCCCTCATCAGGAATTGCTTCAGAGCATTTGTTTCACTTCGACGGCTTCATACTATCATTATAATAAGTGTTCTATACTTTAGTTCAGTGGTCCTCAACCCTCAGGCCACAGACTGGTACCAGGCCACACAAAAAATGATTAATTATTTCCGTTTTATCTTTTATAAAAAAGAATGACTGTATTCTCTCGATTACATCTCAGTCACATGAGCGCCTAAATTTAACCCACAAGAAACAGACGTCTTTGGAAGGTTTATTTGTGCAGGGGAAAAGGCCCAATGAAGGAGCCACGGACTGGATCTGCAATCCATTTGTCAACACATCAGGTGAATCCAGCATGTCTGTGCAAGAAGATCGACCGCCAGAGATCACAAATGATGGCAGTCGTTCACATATTCCGTCTTTTCCACACACAGACTTGTTATTTCTAATGGAGGCGCAGTTCCAAATATGTGTGCAAGTGTCGTGATGTGCCTTCCAGTCGCCACCAGTTAAAAACATCTTCAGAATGCCGTGATAAAAAGAATGCCATAAATAAAACTTGGATCAGAGTTGCTGCAATGTTTTGTCATCATCTGAGAAAACGGTTGATGGTCACCTCTACATACCTCAATCTACATACAACAACCCCCCCGGGCCATGTTTAAATTGTCAAGCGTTGACCGATATGCAGTGACAGAAAGGTTGGGGACCACTGCTTTAGTTCATCCTTGAACATGTTTTCTGCAGGAGTCCAGTAGGATATAATGAAAACTACAACTCGCATGATTTCACACTCAGTCGTGCCATCATCACATGACACCTTTGTTTGTTTTGAATACCTGCCCTCTAGTGGAGGAAACTAAACACTGTGCTTTAAGAAAGTTATACAGGTTTAAAACAGCTTAGTGCTTAGCTAAACAGCTTAGCTTAGTAAACACTTCCATCAGTCTTCACTCTTTCACATTCCTCCTGCTTTTTCATTATTTTCTCCACATTCGTTCATCCATTCAATCGACTCGGCCATCTCTCTCAGTCTTGACTCAATCAGTCACAAGACTGGAGTGAGGGTCATTCTGTGTCCTCATGAGGTCCAGCTCCGCTGTGCTCGTCTGCTATGAATAAAACTCTGATTCAATCCCAGACCACCCCGATTCAGTTTACAGACTCTACAACAAAGACAGCCTTTCTTTTCGCTGAATTTACTCGCTTTTTTAACAATATTTTTTACAGCATAATTAAGGGATGATGACTTTCATCAGAGTAATTTAGAGTTAGGAAAAGGCTTTATAAAGGCCCATTCACAGCAATAACTATAACAATGAAGATACAGTTCTAAAAAGAAATCAGTCCAAACAAAAACTACAGCACTAATAGAAATCACTTCAAGAATTATTTCTTCCAACTGATCCACAATAAAAGAAATCAACAGCCAATCAGAATCCGTAAAGAAACTTGAGCAGATGAAAATACTGCAGCGTGTGCTTATGATAAAGTCAATTTCTACACTGGTGTTTTATACTAATTTGGTTAACATTGTTAGTGTAACTATACCTTAAGTTAGTTTCCTGGTCTCTCAGATGGTTTAGCTCAGAGATGCCCAAACTAAACACACTGATACCAGCTAAACTATCTCTTTCTAGCTAACTTAAGTAGACCTGGAGACCAGATAACCACATGATATTGTTTAAAATGTGTGTTCTTTGGACATTTACCATAGCATTGTAATCACGACTTTGATATTAACACCCACTAACAGTAAGTGGGTGGGTTTCAACAGTAGTGTGTAATACTCAAAACCATAAGCCACTTTTGCAGGTAGCATTTTTTTAAAGGGGCAAGTAAAAGAATCTGCTGAACACACAAACTCGTAGTATAAACGTAGTATAAACCTTCATCAATACAACTCTTGAATATATGAGTGATCTGAATAATTAGGATGAATTAATCACTCATACATTAAGGTGATTCACAATGGTCCATGTTGCAGTGAATATTTTTGGCAGGAGCCCAAAATATATATTTTTTATGGGCCAAAACCAGGGGTCACCAAACTCGTTCCTGGAGGGCCGGTGTTCTGTAGATTTTAGCTCCAACCCTAATCAAACACACCTGAACAAGCTAATCAAGCTTTTACTAGGTATACTAGAAACACCCAGGCAGGTGTGTTGAGGCAAGTTGGAGCTAAACCCTGCAGGGACACAAGCCCTCCAGGACCGAGATTGGTGACCCCTGGCCAAAACTATACATTTTTCTTTTGTGGCAAAAAAAAAGAGATTAGAATATCAAGTGTCATGAAGATATTTTGTACATTTCCTTTTATAGATGTATTAAATCCCAATTTTTGATTAGTAATAATATGCATATTCATTTGAGTAACTTGAAAAGTGATTGTCTCAATATTTGGATATATTTTATTATATATTCAATATTATATTCTTCTCAGGTTCCAAATTTTCCAATAATTGTATCTCAACCAAATACTGTCCTTTCCTAGAAAAACAAAACATAAATGGAAAGCTTACTTATCCTTATTTATATCTATCCAGCTTTTAGATGGTGTGTATATATCTCAGTTTCCAAAAATGTACGCTTATGACGGATTTTGAGGCCCTGGGTCACATTAAAAAAAGAAATCATCAGGCGATAAACTATATCATTGTCATTTTAAGACAATTTATGCCAATCATTATAAAATGCCAGAATGACAATCACACTGCAAGTACACTCTTCCGAAGAACATATAATAGTTTTTCCTTAAGAATATTTCATTTAATTATAGTCATTTTAGCAATTTAATAATGGGTATTGGAATCTGAATGTGAAAACAGATATTCTAAATTAATAATAATAAATGTTAACAAAGTTCAAGGTAAAAAGTAACAGAAGCAGCAATATTTGTTACCAGATTTATTTTCAATAGTCAGACACCAACATGAAAATGTACAATAGTAATTTATTGTAAATACTATAGTGTTTTTTTAACCATACTGACACTGACGCCTTTAATAGAGATAGAGATGTTGCACAATCAGCTAAAATTTTCCTAGAATTGGTTTTTATGTATGGGTGATTTATATTGCATCACCAAAAATGATTGAGGTCATGTCCATGTGTTGTGCGATAAGTCAATATATCCATTATTGTGACAGGCCTAGAAATCATTGCATTTTTCAACGTAAATTATAATTATATGTTGCCTTTGTGAGAAATGCAAACTTCTTTCAAAAATCATACAGACCTCAAATTTTGAATAGCAGTGCATCAAAACATCATGGTATACATCAACACTGCAATGTACATCATGGTACTGCAATAGTACATTTCAGAGAAGTCAATCAGATGGAAAAATGGTAAACTCGAGCTTGTGGGCACATCTCGGAAAGCCCTTGCTGTTTCAGAAGGGTTGCCAAGGAGAGACAGATGAAAGAATCTGGATACCATCTGCTCATTCCTGAAACTCAGAGGTAGCAGTATGTGTGTGTATAATAACCTACAGAATTCAGACTAGTATCTGTGGAATATTCCAGTGCAAACCCTAATTCACAGCCCTCAGGCACTAGCCGGCTAGACAGGTGTATAAACACACAAACTCAGACACACAGTTTTTTTTTTCCGCCTCAATAATGTCATTGACTTCAGGTCTGTGTGGGATTACCACTCGGTCAGACTCAGATTTGTCTGCGGCACAGATTATCTGGAAACAGAAAAGGGTTGTAAAGAGGAATCTACTCGACGCCAGGATACAAAAGCCTGAAAATCCTTCACACAAGCCAATAGTTTCAGTTTACTGGGGGATGCATTCATAACAAAGTGTGTGTTTGGAGATGTGAATCACCACGCACCCATTGGCCAGTTGTCATACACGTGCTTGGCGATGTCGGCCGCCGAGTCGTTTGGAGAGAACAGGAACTCTTTTGTTTTTCCACTCACCAAGATGAGCCTCAAGTTGATCTGAAACACAAACACAAACAATAGGGCTGTTAGAAGCGAGCTCAGAATCAAGCTTCCTCTACACTGACACGAAACAACATTCACGGCCCGTTTTAACTTGCTGGAGTGACGTATTTCCAGGGTGCACAGCAGAATCAACATTTGCATAAACAATGCCTAAATAGCTATTATATTATTGGCAGGCAACACTGGAGGAATGTGCACATTTCCACAGAGTAAAAAGCTTTACCAACTCATCACCCGGGCATATTTGTTTATAAAATTCATTGACTAATTTGATTAAGCCACCAATTAGCTACCAATAAAAGTGTTGTTAGCTCCATTTGGCACATTTATCTGTTTGAACAGACTCCCGAAATCAAAATAAATGAAAGAATATGAAGGAAAACAGCTTAATTTAAATGAATAATAAATAAAATATAATAAAATACAACTGTTTGTATTTTCAATAATGTTTAATGAATCGTGCACAAATAACTAACATATTAAATAATATTATTTTGGATTTTATGCTTTTATTTTGAATTAATATAATGTTAAATTGGGGTGACGTGGTAGCACAGTGGGTAGCGATGTCACCTCACAGCAAGAAGGTCGCTGGTTCAAGCCTCAGCTGGGTCAGTTGGCGTTTCTGTGTGGAGTTTCTACCCGTGTTCGTGTGGGTTTCCTCCGGGTTCTCTGGTTTCCCCCACAGGTCAAAAGACGTGGTATAGGTGAATTGGGTAAGCTAAAATTGTCTGTAGTGTATGAGTGTGTATAGATGTTTCTCAGTGATGAGTTGCCTCCTGTCTGTAACCTTCACTGTCCTATCCATATTAAAGGTGAAAAAACTTTTAAAAATGTAGAAAAAAATTTAAAATAAACATGCTAGACTTTCTGCGATGGTGTTGTGAGGCATTGCTGAGATGGTATCGGTTGTCATAAACTACGCCATTACAAGATAAGAACTGATTGAATCTTGTCTCACGATGCCAGTTGTCGCTTACAACACCCCACGACACCCTAGGTCACGGCTTACAAATTATTGAGCTGAAGCTTGAATTAAATTAAAATCAGCTTGAAGCTTGAATTAAATGATAAATGAAATGCAATATCTGTAAAAAAAAAAAATAAACAAAAATCGCAGTTAGATATTTTCCCTAAATCGCACAGCCCTTGTGGGTACACATGGCTTCTCTAAAGAATAAAACTAAAAAAAACAGTGGATTTCTTTTTTTATTTCAACAGTCTTTTTAAGAAACCCATTTAAAAGAAACGGTGTATAAGTGTAATAATAAATAAAAAATATTTTTATAAATCACTTTTTGGACGCATGTAGGTATAACCATGTGCCATGGGTAAAAATCCAACTAACACCCCAACTATATTTCAACCATGTGGGAAGCACTGATACACTTGACAAAACCTTTCTGGGTCTTTGTGGAAAATTCTATTAGGATTTAAAAACTATTTAATAATTCAAATTTATAAATATGATTAATAATAATAATTCCTTACATTTATATAGCGCTTTTCTGGGCACTCAAAGCACTTTACACATAGGGGGGAATCTCCTCATCCACCACCAGTGTGCAGCATCCACCTGCATTATTATAGTAAGCTTTAGTTTTTATTTTTATATTGTCTCTTTGGGTTTTAACTTTGGTTAATACTTTAGTAATAATTTATCTCCCCAGTTGATGTTAATTATAAATGACTAAACCATTTTTTTATTATTATTTGTTAACTGCAATAAACCTGACTTCTGGCTGTACAAAGGCAAAACCTACTAATTTAATCAACACCAAACCTATATATAAAAACTATTCTGATTGAGATGGGATGGTATCTCAGTGGTCACTGATTTGAGTCCCGACTGGGCCAGTTGGCATTTCTGTGTGGAGTTTGCATGTTCTCTCTTTGTTGGCGAGGGTTTCCTCCGTGTGCTTTTAAGCTAAACTGGCCTTAGTGTATGTGTGTGAATGAGAGTGTGTATGGGTGTTTCCCAGTGCTGGGTTGCAGCAGGATAAGTTGCTGGTTCATTCCACTGTGGCGACCCCTGATAAATAACTTTTCTTTGGCTTAGTCCCTTTAAAGAATGAATGGATATTCTGATTGATTTATAATCAATACCACCTTATTTTCTCAGCATCTAGGCTTGATTAAACCAAAGCCATCTATCACAGCTCATATCATTATTTAAAAAACAGTCTGAGCACATCAATCTTCATCTGTCCTTCATTTCAGCCTTTCTTTGATGCCTCCAAACCACCAGTGATTCAATCAGCGCGATTATGCTGTTTGCGCAAGTGCTCAAGCAACATAATTTGCAAAATGTCCATTATCATATTCATTCACATCCCAGAGTGCCGCTCATTTAAAAACAAAAGAGTAGCAGACATCAAGCTGCTACAGCGAGAGAGAGAGAGAGAGAGACACGGGACAGGACAGGACAGGACAATGCTCGGGGCAGTGCATGTCCAATGCACGTGTGTTACTATGCAAGAGTCTGACATCAGAGGATCCAATATTACACTCCTCCCTCTGCACACACACACTGGCAGCTGCAGTGATGTAACAGAGTGAAAACCAGCAGATGGAAACAAAGATCCTCCTAAGCACTTTATAGAATCAGATTAGAGCCAGGAGCAAGAGCCGCTCACTGAAAGAACTCAACCAGAGATCAAAACACACACACACACACACACCATCTTAAGTCTCCTTCAGAGCAAAGAGTATTAGTCAACAGACAGCCGCGTGCATTCATGCACAAGACAAAATGATGTTTGGACGACCATGCAGACATACACATGCAAATCTAATTTAGGCCTGGGATTAGTATAGAGCTATTTTATGAAGCCACCGCACAGGAAGGAAATACCAGAGGAAATCTACTTATCACTATATTACTGTACACATTTTTGACAATTCACTCCTCAGTTTGCAAGAGCTTTAAAAAGACTGCTTTAGGGTCAAAGATGAAAAGGGGATTTCAAGAATTACTGCAATAAATTGTAATATGGCTTTCAATTTTGGTACATCAGAATGTGTCCGGTTGCATTTTTTCCGAGGGAAAAAAAATTCAGTTTTTACCATCATGTTAAAGAAGACATCTTTAGAACAATAATCATATGATGGCATATTAAAAAAGCTATTCAATAGGGGTTCTCTGATCAGGATTTTTGCAGCTGATACCGAGTAGTTATTCTTTGTCATGATGAATGGCCGAAACAGAGAACTGATTCTGATCTCGCCTTCCCTAAGACAATAAATAAAGGATGCTGCTTATAATTCCTTAAACATATCTCTTTTAACCATTTAGGTGTGAGCATGTCATGGTAAGAAGCAGCTTTACAGAAAATAATATATCACATATAAACATTGGGAAGAACAAAAACAATTTGAATACATTGCAAATGACGAAAGAAGAATTCAACAGGTCTCAATCAAGAAAAAAAAAGAAAAAATTATGAATAGTGTGTGTGTGTGTGTGTGTATGTATATATATATATATATATATATATATATATATATATATATATATATATATATATATATATAAATCAAATATAATAAAACCTAATACAATTAGTTTGGAACTTTATGATTCAAAGAAATCTTAATTATGTTTTTTATTTTTAAAGCTCCGCCTCTGTATCCACTGTCTTTTTCAGATGACATCATCAAGCCCTCCCTACACAACTCCCAATGGACAAAACCTACATGTATATCACACCAAGTACATCATTCTATGGGCAAATTTTTTTCTATGCCACCACTGGGTATGAGGAAAATAAAAAATGTAAAACCAAACAGCTTGTGTCATCATTCTCTCATATGGACTCATTGGCATTTGCCAGCTCGTGGCTGATTAAAAACATCAGGATGGCAGCTCGAACGCACCCGCACACCTCCTAGTTTCCATAGCGATGGTAACCGTGGCAGCGGCTCCTCAGTGAGAGCGCTGACCTGAATCACCTGCAGGCTGAGTCTATCTCCATCCCAGCCTCATCCTTCATTATGTCACTCCATCTTTTCCACATCTTTGTCTAACCATGACGTATCATCTGCACCAGGAGAATGCCAATGAGCAACAGATTTATGAGCTTTCCAGACGTAGGAAAAGATCTAATCGCAGAAGTATGTGTTATGATTGGATGCGTCTGCTCAACATTTCTCTTCCTCAGCGAGCCGACCAAATCTCACGATGACGTCGCTCGACTTGAAAAGACGCCTCCGAGGAAATTCAACAACAACAACAACAACAAACTCAGCAGAAAGCATCTACTGGGGAATGATTTCTAATGCCAGGGTAAGAGCAGGTGGTTCCCTGTCTGAGAAAATAGTTGCTATGCCAAACGTGGGCTTCTGTAGTACTGCAACCTCATAAAATATGGTGAGCAATTCCAGCGCAGGAACCCCCAGCTCCCGTTACCAAGCCTTCAGGGGCAATGTTTTATGTAATCGGCCCCCAGCGCAATCCTGCAGACACAAACACACCTTCCTGAGGGCAAAGACGTCATGCATCAGCGCAGTCATGAGGCTACAGGCCAGCACTGGGATCTCTGTTGTTTTGGAAAGATTTGTAGAGACTGCATTAATGACAGGGAAATAGATAAGGTATAGTAAAAGTAGAGCTGGGCGACGTTACGAAAAAAAAAAAACAGTACAGTGTTTTATATCATACGATATAGATAATTATTGAACATTTTATAACAATCCATTTAGGTATATTATTATCTGAATATTATTATTATTAATAATATTATTATCATATTATTATTACTGAAATGTATATATTATATACAAAGTGTGAAGCAGATTGGTTAGTTCTACTTGCATAAATCACGATGTGCTCGCAGCATTTAGAAAAGTTCAGATCTTTTTCAACTAGGTGCGGCTGGAAAATGGACACACGTCACGATAAACACTTGGTGGAGTTGAAAGGCGTGAGACATGGAGCACAAACACTCTTGTCAGTTTTGTAGGTAATTAATAATACAATAGCACTAATCCGCTTG